TATTATAGATGATGAGTCTCTCTCAACAAGCGGATAAACCGCTTGTCCGTGGCGGGTGAAATTACTATGTTGGTAACGTACTTCTTCGCAAAAAAAAGTAGCCGCATTTAAAAGATCCTACTCGCTCTCTCGAAGACTTTTTTAAAACGATCAATTTTTTCGCACGTCAAATATCGTAGAAAGTTTAGATTTTCCATCAATCAAACTTCGATTAAATAAAAAATTATCGTTATATATATATAGTGCAAAGTGACGCAAATGGTCCCTGAATAAAGCTCTGCGGAAGATGCGATATCGAATAATTCCTGTTACGGAGAAGGAGAGACGACGCGTCAGAGATCGGACTCGTCCGGGACCATGAGGTTCAGCCATTAGGGCCTCGCCGATGCCATTAGCGCCGTTCTGAGTGATAGACGCCAACATTAGCCGTCCGGCGACTCGTAACTTTCGCGGCTATCCGCGCTATTATCCAGCAAGTGGGACTTCACGGATCGGGTCCGATCTCGCCGCGCCATCCGTCTCAAGTTCTCCGCCGAAGGCCCGGCCTTTCAGCTTTGCCTTTAACGGTCACCCCCGCGGTCTCTTCTGCATCGCCGCCGACTTGAACGACGACGACCAAAGGAGGAAGCGAGGGGAATCGTGGCGAAACGACGGAGGATTCCACGGCTGCCAAAGGCAGGCGACGAACACGAGACTCACGGAGGAATCCACGACTATCGGAAGCGATCGCCGAATGCACCGGCAATAATTTACTCCCCTCCTTCCCGGTCCTCCTCTTCCACTCTTGTCGCGGCCGGGTCGAGACTTCTTCTCGCGTCTTCTCTCGAGGCTCTCGCGGAACATCGCGCGACTGCTGTGGGAAGAGCGTCGGGGGCCCGTTAGGACCGTTTCACAGGTCGCGGAATTTTCTCCTACGATAAACGTAGGAGAGAAGCAAGGTGAGGTCGCCGCCGAGATATCGTCGAAACATTCACGCCTCCGTTAATTTTATTCTTTTAAATAAGTGCTAATTTTAGACAAGTATTCCCACTTTTTTACCCAAGTTTGCGTTCTTTTAATTTTTCAAATTATATTCTAATTTCTACTAATTTGTGGTATGTGTGAGAGGTGAAAGAAACACTAGTCTTCGAAATATAAGATGCATCAAGTAAGCATCTAATATTTTTAGGTATAAAAATATTAAATTAAACGCAATGTTTTTATCTCTAAAAAAATTCTCACAAGCCGTAATTTATATCAAAAATCAATTTAACTAACTGATATTTAATTAACTGTTTATTTAACTGATTACAGGAAATCTATGTGCGTTTGATTTGATCAATCTTAAATAACTCTCTATCGATACGATATAATTCTATATTCTCTACCATTCTCTAGCATAATAGACGCTTATTAATGTTTAATCCGAATAACTAGTTTTATCTGGCGCGGTAAAAGCACAATCGCGCGTGTCAAAGTCTGTGACAAACAATTCCACGATTACCGACGTCCGCATTAATCAGCGTATATCGCGCCCGATCGAAAATAATTTAAGATCTATTGTGCCGTTTCACATTGCGCGCAATCTGATAAAAGTTTTGCTTGCATGAAGCAGATCTTAATGCTATCACGCGCGCGCGCCAGAGCCAGAGGAGAATAGCAGTAAAGGTATTGTTAGTAGTACGCGTCCCGTTACTTTGTTGCAGTTGACAGCGAGATAGCCGAAGCAACGAGGATGCCCTACGGCGATGACTATCGATTTCACGGAAAAACTATACGCACTTTTATTTTCCGGTTAAATAGACGTTTCATTCACTATTGATGGCCTTAAACAGTTATGGCATTCGCGTCGTCTTTAAAACGCCATCGAACTCTGCAAAATATGAATAATTTACGATTCCAGCCGAGTCGCTAATAAATATTATTATAGATTTTTCTTTTTCCATCCAATTCAATATTTTTATAGTAATTATACCAAGTGTAATTCTGAAACATGGATGCAAACACCATCAATTTGTTCGTTGAAAGGAAAAAAGAAATATTAAGCAGAATAAATATTAAAATTTGAAAAAATAAATTGCTTGACGTTTCATGGAATAATTTCAGATAACGCGAGCAATATAAATGTGAGATTAAAATCCCTCGATCATAGTGACAGATATATTACGAGCTAAAAGCATGATAAAATTTAGATGTCAACGGATGACGCTCGCATTTCCGATAGAATATGTGCTTGCGATGGAACCGCGGAACGATTATACGCGACCATAAATATTGCATCAACGTAGTCGCGCAGGTATATATCGAACGGCTACAGGTATATACCTATCTACCCGCCGTAATATCGCATCAGCCGGTGCAGAGGAGGACGGTCGAGATTAGTTCCGATTGCCGCGCCGGAGAGTTATAGGAAGGATCACGACTATGTGTGCGTCCGCCGCTCACGGCCAGCCATCGATCCCGGGCTACCGGCTGCTGCTACTGCTCTCCTGCCCGTTAATGAGTCATGTTTAATTGGCGTGGGAAGCCCGCGGCTTACGTCCACGTAACGGAATTGAACCGTACTCGATGCAACCGCGCGCACCCAGCGCTGTGCCCCCTTGTCATCCCTCCCCCTCTCCCCGCGCCTCTTTTCCTCTCCTCGCGAAAGATGCACCGTGACTTGCAGCAATTTTCTCTGGAAATACTCGAACGAGGATCGGGCCAATTCGGCATCCTCGGGCGAGGAAGGGTAACGTCGGGTGTAATTTTTTTCCTTGCGTGCAAAATTAAGCAGTATTAAGCGATCTGTCAACATCGTTAACGAGTAATCGTATTGCGAACGGCTAAAGTACGGAAGAATTTCGTGACTAATCGCGACCGGGCAAAAACGCACCGTCAAATTATGATTTCACGTCGCACGCGCGTGTCAAGTGACGCGTGCCGGGCAGCCGCGAGGCGCATCGACTACAGGAAATACCTGCCTGTAACAGGTGGTACGCGTCGGACATTTGCGTGATTCGAAAAAGGAGAGAGAGAGAGAGATATGAAATTCTTTCTCCTTTCATCTTATTTCCTTCTATACTCACACTGTACTATATTATCCTTCGATATGATTCTTCTATACACTGAGAAAAACTCGTTTGACCAACAAAAAACGTATATGATTTAAGGCATTTTGATTAAATCAAACAAGAATTTCTAGTTATGATAAAATTCGATTTTTTATAACTAGAACGTTTAATAGATTTTACTATAAGGATTTGGTTAGTATTTTCTGGTTGAATCTATCAAATTTCTTGTTACATTAATTTTCCAAAGTATATTTTTTTTTCTTACAAGCAGTAGTGCTAGAAAGAGGACGCTAGCTCTCTGATTATGTGTGTTGAGCTGCATCCTCTTCTTGCGTCACTGTTTATCAGTTGAATTTTTAACAAACTGAACTTAAAATAATTTATTCAATAATCTGGATTGAATTTATCTAATAATCTTGTTGGAATTCAAAATATTAAATAGACTTTTGAGATTAGATGGAAAAAATTTTAGACGACTTGGTCCTGACGAGTTTAGTATTATTAACCAGAAAATTTGGTAAATTTAACAGGAAGAAATTAATCAGATTCATCTGGTAATTCCTACTAGAATTCTGATTCGTCCATTTTCCAACAGACATACTAGTTGAATCTACCAGAATTCTAATTAATGCAACCAGATTTTTTTCTCAGTGTATGAATCATATAAAAATCTCAATCTCCCTTTTATCGAGCATTCATTTTTTTCTAATTTTCACAAATTTTAATATTTAATTGAATGATCACTTGAAACAAATATATAAAATTATTACACTTGCAAAACCTAGCATTTGCAGCTACCGAGTGAAATCTAGCACGATGCGACGAATGATGTTCATCGACCATGTCCTTCAACGACGTATTGCCGTCTCCTAGCCATGGTAACAAGCGTGTCGCGTGAAACGCGATGGATCTTGAATACGTTCCCCGGAGCACTGGCGATTCTCTATTTTCGTTTCGTGAAAGGATCCACGATATTTCATGTCACGGACACAAGCGAGAGAGCGTTTTATTACCATGGTTGGTGTATTGCCTCATAGAACGGAGCATACGTACCTACGTTACCCTAACGACAAACTTACGCGAGCACTACTCGCGGTAGTTGAAAATGGAATCGAAATCAAATCGGTGGTCGCTAATATCCGTGTAATTGGAATGGATAAGTTCCGTTGGTCAACAGATGTACGCTTCGAGCCGATGAAGAAATGTCCATCAGAAATTCGCGCTTGCCTTTAGCTTTTTGACATAAGTATTTTGAATAATTCTCGAGAAACACTAGTCAAAAAATGACGATCCGAATCGCAAAATTCGCACGTTCGCGAGCCATTGACTGCATCGTTAAAGGGAACGCGGATGAACGCGCAAGAGGTGGCGGCTCCAAACGTTCGTGTTCTCTCTCGCATTGCGACGTAATATGCATCGCGAATGCCAACACGAGTCACACCCATCATAGAGATCCTGTGGGTGGCGCCATGTATTCGCACGAATAAGTCGTACGACCGGCATCCAACGATGACCCGCGAAGTGCTTCACGAAGCGCTCCAAGCGTTCGTTATTATACGTGCACCGTCCGTTCGAGGCGAGATTTTATCGGCATGAATAATCGCGAGGAAATTTTAACGTCCGTTAAGAGCAACGACACTTGATAGTATAGAGAATGACGTATCTCGCGAATAACTGTACGCGAGCGTATTTCTATATTTGCCGCACGACGTGACATATCAAGAAAAATTCCCAGTCGACTCCGTCGTCAGGCGGTTTAGAATCCGCGCGGATCTTTATTGACGAGATTAATCTCTCTCATGTATTAAAATTTATACGTATCTTTTATACTATTACGTAAAATATTTTTTTAAGTGAGATTCTATCGATTAAATGCGACGTTAGATAAAACAAATTGCGTATTCTCGATTGTGCTGATGCATTTTCGAGACGTCGAAATTAAATACATTCGGAATAAAATCGACTTACCTCCCTAGACGTCGGTGCCCCCAGGACGCAGGGGCTGTCCGGGCGGCGAGGCGCGCTGGCCCACCGCTTGCTCGAGAGCTCGCTCTCCTCCTGAAACAATAAACGCGACCTGTAATTAGACAAGACGAAGGTAAAGGTGATAGGCGGCGGGGTCTGATGAGCGCTATTATAGCAATCGTAATGGCTGCCTTGGAAACAAAATTGCTCTTCGCAGAAAATTAGCGAGAGGGAGACCGAAGGGGGTGAGAATGGAATAGTCGCGGCATAGATCGTGGGTAATCCTAAACATCGCGAAAAAGTAAAGCTGCAATTTCTCTAATAACCACCCCGAAAATATGTTTCATTATCAATGAATGAGAACTATCTCTAAAATTAACGGAAAAAGTCCTGGGACTTTTAGTTTAATTTATTACTGCAAAGATTAAAAGCTGAGAATTCTAAAAAAAAAAAAATTCAGAAATACAGATACGCAAATAAATTTTCTCCAAAGAGGCCAAATGTATTCAGCGAGCGATAATCATCGTGTCACGTAATTATCCATCGAAAATTATCGTACGCCCAGCTATAAGTAAACATTTTGCATAATACAAATGTCGACAAGCGAGTGCGGACACTGGTTCCATTTCAGCGTACATTATATGAATGAAGCAACCGCAAATTAACGCGCGCTTTCGCTCGTCGATCGACGGGCTACAAATCGACTTCTATTACGAATACATTCACCGCGACATTCATCGAGACTCGTTAATATTTTTGCGTCAGTGCCCGCCCTGTCTTTAATTTCGATCTCCTTGAATGGAAGCTGTACGCCAGATGGTACCTTTCAGTGCCGTGAACTCATTAACGGTAAATGTATTATGGGATGTAAATCAATTGTCAAATTAACAATCGTTTATCAAGATAAGTAAGCCTTAAAAATATCTCTGAATCCAAAGAAAAGTAAAGAGAAATAATTAAAAAATATATAATGGAATTATGTTTATAAAAAAATCACATGTTTTGCGAGCAAATATGTGAATTATATAAATTTCGAAAGAGTAAACGTAGAAGAATCCAGATGAGGAATATTGCTCGACAGTGCCTGTAATACTATCTCCTTTTTTGTATATATAGGGACGTAAATCAGTGCGGCAATATACAATTTAGAATAGTGTTCTGCGACACGATTAAAGTGCACCTTGCGGCATGAAATGGCAGGACTGCGCTAATGGTTCAATTATGCGAGTCATTCGCAATGAAATAGTATGAGGAGAGATTCTGAGAGAATCTTCCTTCTCTCCTCCACATAGAACGCGCACATCGGAATAATTAAAACCATACCTCTATCATACGATATCAACGCGAATTGTCATTATATTAATTTAACAATGTTTATTCTACTATAAATACTCAATTTCCTGTTAAAGTTTTACAAGTATTTAAATATTTATCTATACACTTTCAATATACTATAATGAATCACCATTTTCATTAATGATTTACTAAGCATATAAGTCTCAATATAAATATATTCTAATAAAAAGAAAATAAGCAATCGAGCGCAGGTTTGAATGCAGGTCGGTCGAAGTAAAAGGACGGAAATATAATTCAAATCGCGAAACGTGAATTTATCGCGTGATACATGCAAGTTGCGATACACAAGGAATCTGACGTAATCTCGGTTGACACAATCGGACGGTGTTTCGCCGTATTTACGTGAAGGCGACAGGAGTCTTCTGGCGGTGCGCACGCGAACGCGCGGTTATTAAAACGTTAAAACAATTACGGCTCGGCTCGTGTATGTCACGAGCCGGGGAAAGAGGCTGAGAGGGACGAGAAGCGAGCGCGGGAGAGAGAGAGAGAGAGAGAGAGAGAAAGAGAGGCGGAGCGAGAGTAAGCGCATCGGCATGGTATGTACGACAAAGGAGAGGGACGAGGAGGACGGATGAAGGGGTGCAGCGCTCCGGGGGAGACAGCACGACAATGACATGCGACGATGTACGAGCAGGACTCGACTTGCGCAAAGGAGACACGGCTGGCGCACCGCTCTCGCGGCGGACCACCGCGTACATCGCATGCTCAATACAGATTCGAGCATGCTGATCGATGGTGGGAACACCGCGATCGCGTTTTATGTCCTCGACTTCGACTTGCGCAAAGAGAACGCTGGCACGTTAATTGCTTGTTCATTAATAACGCGCGTTGAAGTCCAATGGAGTACTTTCTCAAGTAACAAAAATTGACATATAAAAATTGAACGTGCTTTGAAAATAGATTCCTATTTTTCCTGCTTTACTTGAAAAGCATCGTTGTGGCTATTATTGATATGTTATTTCTTCAATTATTATTCGCTGTTATTAATACTAATAATATATTTATACTATATTAAAATTTATATTATTAAATTTTTACAAATGTTTACAATATTTCATATCTCCCTACACATTTTACGTCTCTTAATACAAAATATATAATAATAAAATTAATTTAGTGAAAATCCGTAAGTGTACGTAAGCAATATCAATTTACTCTATTATGCAATAATACTTTAATTCTATTATCTTGACGAGAATCATGTACGAAATAACTGAATATCATTTTCCTCAATGATAGCCTCGCCTACGTGTGCGCTTGGTAATGCAATATCTATTAATATATAACGTGCATCACATATTTTCATACACAATGCAACACACACCTCTCTTATATTAAATCAATTATCTTCCCTATTAATACTCCCGCATGCGATCACACTGGATTAACGAGCCTCGAATAGGACGAATTAACTCGTTCCTTCTCGTAAAGTTATAGTTGCGTGATTCGGAGGCATGTCTAAAGGGGTGAAAATGGATTGCGTACGTACGTTATACTTATATCGAAGCTTACCGCTACCGCAAACACGCCCGCCTGATTCCTCGCAAAACGCGATGCGTCGTTTTCGTCTCGTTACCATTACATTACATTACGTTATTACAGTGGACGCGAGTTACGTTTCGAGATATGCGTTACGTTTACTTTCGCTGGATTTCTCCTATTTTCCGTAATGCCGCGAGATTGCGTCGCGGAAATTGAATCGGCGGCGCCTTTGGACACGCCGAATGTGCTGAAAATGCATCGTTCCTCCGATCTGCATCTAGCGCGAGAACGAAAGTTCGCGGGAATGACGACGATTTTGCATTTCCGCGATGGAAACGGGAACACGAGGCGGTTCGCATCTCTCGAGCACGACGAGTCTCGCGTATATACAGTTTAATATACAATATCCGACCACTTATACACGGCACGTTGTTCGTATTGCAATATTGTTATTCGGACCCCTGCGTGGGCACTGCAGATATAAACCCGTTAATAGAAACGTGAAGTATCGCGCGAGGCCAGTTCCGCGGTTCTGCACCGAAAATGGATGTGAGTTAAATACGTTCTCAAGCATCTACGTTCAACGGCATCTCTCCTCTGTACTTTATTTAAAACAGATTACGATGGAAACGTTACGCCCTTAAGCCACGTATATAAACGATATATAAACTTAATCTTGTGAAAATCTTGTTAGAAGAGGCACATTATTCTAAATTGTACTCTTATCTCACGAATTTAAATGTAAAAGTAAGATTATTGGCTTAAATGAGATTTATATATGTTCGCTTTAGTTTAAGTTCAACTAGAAATTGATATAAATTTTTTTCAATCTATACATTATTAACTTTATAAATTATTAGAACGTTGATGACATAAAAACTTAATTTGCCAATAAAATCTGTTACTTTATAAATCAATTAATCAAGTTAAAAAAGCTTTATATTAAACTGACCGTTGCGTAGGATTCAATTTATCGTGTTTCGAAATTCAATTTATATAATCAACTCTTGGGATATATAAGCGACGGGTTTATTTATATTAAAGGGCCTTTTCTCGACGTATTTATGATTTCGTGGTATGAATCCCCGCCTACACCTAAAAGCAGTATTCATGCGACCAAACTCGCCCGCCGTGATTCATGGTACTTTCGCATTAGCGGTAGAATTTGGCGGTAGAAAATTTCCAATTATAAACACACATAACGAATCAAAATTAAATTGCGAAAATTAATCCCTATTTTATAATGCGGCGTAATTATTAATTAAATAAATGGGAGAGCAGTTAAAATATTTTGACAAAATGAAATAAACACGATTAAATCCACAAGTACAATTGGAAACTATTATAAGTCCCCATTTGGAAGTCGCTGATTAAAGGGAGAAGAATGTTTCGTTTGATTTAGAAGCGCAGAGTCGGGTCTTTCTTTTAATTGGATATGAATCGACGTGGCGAGAACGACCGTTCCACATGCGTATGCATTCACGCACTGCACTCGCACTTCGTCTTCGTGCGTTCCCACGCCATCTCAGGCTCGTTAATGGATTAGAGCTTCGAAAGCTTGATTCTGATATAAGTGTTTCTCTCTCTCAGCACGTCTTGTCATCGCGTAATCCCTTTCGCGCGCGGTGTGTGTGTGTGAGTTACGCCAATCGGGTGTATCGTAAATTATAACTTTCGGTCATAAAAGCCGGACTATGAAAGTGATTTGCGACGCGGTAAGAAGAAAGATATCTCTTCCCTTCTGCCCGATCATGATTTTCGCGCGGATTGTACGGGAGGAAAGGGAATTCTGAAATAACGTATGAAGTTGTTGAGACGAGAGCAAAATGCACGCTCACGCGAGTTCTCTCTCTCTCTCTCATTAATGTCCGTTCTTTAGAAATGATTCTCGGTAGCTTGGCTAAAGAGGCTTATGTAACGCGCTATATATATTGGAATATTTATAAATTTATATCACATTAATATCGTATGCAGTCATGCTTATGGCGTCTACATTTAATACAGTGCAGTTAGAAAGGCGAGACTTTGATTGTGTCGGCAAAGAGATCTTGCTTTGCGAAAAATTAATTATCACTAAATACATAAGCAAATAATATACTAATTTAAAATAAATACGACGTTTCACACACATATAATCAGATTATATAATGCACATCTTTGATAACTTTTCATTACTAGCACGATTCTTTAATATTATGCTAGGAACTATGATTAATTTATCCGTAAGCTTTACAGGAAACGATTTAGAAATCATA